GCTCCCATCTAGACGTCATCTCTTTCAGGGAAGACCCTGCATTTTTCAACACGATAATACCAGACCACATTCTGCAGCAATCACAACATCATGGCTACGTAGGAGAAGGATCCGGGTACTGAAATGGCCAGCCTGCAGTCCAGATCTTTCACCTATAGAGAACATTTGGCGCATCATAAAGAGGAAGATGCGACAAAGAATGCCCAAGACAATTGAACAGTTATAGGCCTGTATTAGACATGAATGGGAGAGCATTCCTATTTCTAAACTTGAGAAACTGGTCTCCTCTGTCCCCAGACGTCTGTTGAGTGTTGTAAGAAGAAGGGGGGATGCCACACAGTGGTAAAAATGGACTTGTCCCAACTTTTTGGGGATTTGTTGATGCCATGAAATTTGGAAACAACAGATTTTTCCCTTAAAATGAAACATTCTCTCAGTTTAAACTTTTGATCTGTGATTTGTGTTCTATTCTGAATAAAATATTAGATGTTGACACCTCCACATCATTGCATTCAGTTTTTATTCACAATTTGTTTAGTGTCCCAACTTTTTTGGAATCTGGTTTGTAAAAACATGACAATGAAAGGAAAAAAAGACGACATTTCAGAACAAGACAACATTTAAATAAAGTTAATTTACAGCAAATAATTACCACTTAGTGTAAACTAGAGATGCACCGATCCGATACCAATATCGGTATCGAAATTTTTTGTGTGTGTGTGTGTGTGTGGGGGGGGGGGGGGGGGGGGTTAAAAAAAAAAACAACTTCTGGATCGGGTATCGGTGACAATGTGACCGATCCATGACTGGACAGATCTATTATTCATTCTAATCCTATGCTTTGTGCTCTGAGTGACGTCACGAGCTAGCGTACTGACTGAACAAATTAAACTTGTCTTGTTTTGACCAAGCTTGTGAAGCTCTTGGTGTGTTTAAGTGTGCTGTTATGGTGCAGAGTTTTCAATAAATTTGTAATTCAGTACATTCATGTCTGCGTTTAACAAAACAAATGTTTTAAATTAATTCAGCACTGGGTTTGTAAGCTCAAACATCCAGGTGGACAACAAAAATGGCTAAATCATGTCATCTGGCCCCGTTTCAGAAACAGGTCCAAATGACATGATTTAGTATTTTTTGTTAATTCAGCACAGATTTTCTGTATCAGATGGATATTGGATTGGTATCACCCGTTACTAAACAGCAGGTATCAGTATCAGATCGGAAGTGGAAAAAAAAAAAAAAAGTGCATCGGTGCATCCCTAGTGTAAACAAAAAAATTAACTGAATATTATTTGAAGTCATAGCTGCTAGTTTTTTTTTTTTGAATTTGCTATTAAAAATAAATTAAATTAAAATAAACGACTAAGTAGAATTTCAATACAGCCAAACTGAATCCCCTCTGAGCACATTAGAAAGCCCATAATTACTGAACTCAATGAGGTAGACTTGTTATGTCCAATTAGCCAAACTGTATGAATCTACAGTCATCTGGTGCAAAGTTATAAAATCAACTGCAAGCTGTGTGGTTTTGTGTCAGCCCAACAACTCCAAATGGAAAAGAATTATGGGCAAGAGTAAAGATTGATTGTAACATGTCAATGCTGGAAAAGAACGCAGGAGGACTTGTGACCAAAAATCAGAAACACAGCTGCAGCTCTATTCAGGAAGTAGAGAGCAGGAAATATTTAGAGTCTGCTTTTTAAAAACAATGCCAAGCAGTGACCCCATGCATTACTTAGCTTAAAAACAAAACTTCAAGTTTGACACAGTTTGTATTTTAAGACATCTAAATCCATGTGAAGGCTGCTGTTCGAATACTGGAAGAATAAAAACAATAAGTTTCTGCAGCTCATACGGACGCTGGCATAATTACAGTAGTCCCTCGTTGCGGTTCAACTTTCGCAGTTTTTCAACGATTGTCAACTTTAATATTACTTACATGATTGGGATGGTATGGGATAAAAAGTTAACAAAAAAATATATACATAGAACAGGCGCTGACATTTTATAGTTTTCTTTCAATAAGCCTACACTGTAACGCCAGTCAAAAGGACTACACGGCCCAGAATTCAACAGTGCTTCCAGACGCTGCTTTCTGCTGAAATGGAGGGAAAGTTTTGATCCATTCCCAACCTGACTAAAAAATTTGGTCCTTATTCATAGTGACTTCAACGCTCAGTGGATGCAGAGAGCCGATCAGAACCAGACCAGAACCGTACCAAGGCTGGTGATTCGCTATATAAAATTTTGTAGTACTGTACAGTACATATAAGTATGTTGTTAAAAAAACATAGGTTTAAGATTTTAGAACATTGCAAGAGTGTGGGAAGGGTTTATAAGGCCTTAAAATATAAATAAATACTAAAATAAATATCACATTCCTACTTTGCGGTTTTTCTTCTATTGCAGGGGTGTGTGAAATGTAACCCCCGCAATAATCGAGGGACTACTATATAGTTAACCTGGCCAGGACTCTCACAGTTACTGCAAAGTCTGTTTGTTTCATCAGGTTAGGGCTGGGCCATATCATATCGTTCACGATAATATGCTCTGAAATATCACAATATTATATTTGAGCCATATCGCCCACCCCTACATCAGGTTTTCACTTTTTGTCTCTTTTTGGACTAAAATTTTTTTTATAAAGGCCTCTAAAAACTGAGGCATAAAAAAATGCTGGGTCAAATTTCTGTAGTTTGGTGCAATAATCCCCTTTGAGCAACACTGAGGAATGAGTAGAAGGTTGATGCAGCTCGTCAGGTTTCTATGCACCTTCTGAGTGCTGCTGACGTCAAAAAATAAAAACAAAATCACCAAAACAGAGAAGCAGGGGAAGTATTCATGAGAATAAACTGTACAGTGTGAGCTGGTCCCTCAGTACCTATGTTTACATGTGCAAAATTCTTTGACCGGATTGAAATGTTTTCAGATGAAATAATTCAAATGTATCGTTTACATGGGCACAATCTGTTCACGACGAGCATTTACATGCAGCGGGCTTTGTTCTGAACAGAAGTACTGACATGCGCAACGTGGTAAACTCTTCTTACAAAAACCACAGAAGAAGAAATTATACTTCTGGTTTACTTCAGCGATCAGCGTAAACCACCCGTTTCGTTCCGATTACAAATTATTTCAGATCGAGTTGAATAAACAAAAAAAAACCCGAATGGGGCATTATGTTCCGAATTGGCCATTTAATCTGATTACTTATGTCCATGCAAACATAGCTTCAGTGACCAGTGTCGCCCTGATGGTTCACAGTAAAACCTGAAAGACAGGCTGGGTTTGCAGTGCTAGAGGTTCATGTAGATGATAATACGAAGGAATTATAACAAGTGAGGAGGAGTTTGGACAATTATGAAATAAATAGATATGACAGACATTAAAAAGCAACAAAACAAACTTTTATTTCAGTGTTATAAATAAATAGAGCACAAGCAAGAGGGTTTGGGGGCAGAAGGGCAAAGAAAAAATGAACAAAGAGACGATGAGAAGAGCCAGGTGAGCTCTGACCTTACCTTCGGTGGGGCTGAGCGCTTCTGGGAAGCTGTCCCACGGGAGGGTCCAGGCAGGGCAAGGATGACGAGCGAACATGGCCTCAATGCCATTTTCCTGAGGGAGAGGACACACACACACATGACCATAAATCCTTTTCCACTGAGATCCTGTGCTGGTCCAAATGGCTGTAATGACACAGCTAGACATTAAATATTATGGAGCTTGGTATTGTGTGATTTTTAATGATAAAGAACAGGATGTAATAATGAAGGTGAAATCAACTAACGTGATTTATTTAAGGTTTACAGTAAAACAGTGTTCATGCATCCTGGACTAATGCCATACAAGACAACGTTCCCAATAACATGTGTGTGTGTGTGTGTGTGTGGGGGGGGGGGGGGGTCATTGGTTAGGGTTAGCTGGTTTCTCAGATGTTGACACGACTCAACCCCTGAAAAATAATATTAAGTGTTTTTAAATAGGTTAGCTTGGAGGTTTACTAGAATGTTAAAAGAAAAAAAATGAGTGTGTAGGAAAGAAGCACAAAAGGAAGTGTGCATTTTTCAAAATAAAATGCCATGCAGTCTAATGTTTAAAACAATATTTGTACTCAGCCTCATAAGCAGCACCTTCTAGAGCTGCATTCGGGCATAAAAAATATGACCCGACCCCAGCCCGTAGCCATCATTTCTGAACCCGACCCGTCCCAACAAATTAACAGTACGGTAATTACAAGTCCGAACCCAAAAAAAAAAAAAAACATTTTTAATTAAGCTTTGACTGCTTATATACTGTAGTTATTAACGGTCAGCAGATGCACACGGCTGAATAAAAGTGGCAGAAGATCGGAGCTGAGGGGGTGTTTGTCCTTTCATGGCCATCAAAGCACATTAAATCCCTGCTTCTATCAATCAACCTTTATTTATACAGGTAAATCCCATTTACCTGTAAATCCATGCCTGCATTCTGCATTATTCAGACATGGACCCTGCTCTGACATGTCAGATATTTTGTGATCTCGCCTGTTTGGGTCGTCGGCTGCGCGTGTCCGCTGAGTGAATGAACGTTCATTTGGGATTTGATGGATCACTGCCTGGCAGTAGTCCATCTGAAGCTTAACTGAACTTTTTTTTACCTCTTTCAAGGCCAGTCAGCATGCTGTCAAATGGCCGCATGCAGCTGGTGATTGTATGGCAAGCCATGTTGACATATAATTGGTTCATCAGCCACGCGTGTCCGCTGACGCAATGAAAAGCTCGACACCGGCCTGGCCCGCACAGTATTATGGCCCGGCCGGGCCCTAATCCGGGTAGGCTGGGCAGGGGTCCGGGTTCGGGTTAGAAATGACAGCTCTAACAACTTCACATAGTGGGCCAACCAGTTTGATGGTGCTCTGATGGTTTCTGGAGTCTGCCCTCTCTCTCTCGCCAACTCGTTTGAGGCAATCATGGCCAAAGTGGTTCAAAACGTCAACGTTCAAGCTCAATTATCCAGGTAAAAAAATCCAACAAAGTTAAGTCTGTCAAAACTCCTGATATCCAGGCAACATCCTCACAGCACTGCTTTCAGGTTTGTCAAGTATGTGACGAGGAAAGGAACAGAGTTTAATGCAGCCTTTGGTCCAAATGAGAAGCAGCAGTACTGCACTGCCTGGCCAAAAAAATAAATAAATAATTGCCACCAAAAAAATAAGTTCACACATTAATATTTTGTTGGAACATCTTTAGCTTTGATTAGGGCATGAATTATCTGTGGCATTGCTTCAATAAGCTTCTGCAATGTCACAAGATCTATTTCCATCCAGTGTTGCATTAATTTTTCATCAAAATGACGAGGCACTAGACATGATGGGTGCATCACTTCATTTGCCTCTCTTCTTACCCTGATGCGCCCATCACTTTGGAACAGGGTCAGTCTGGACTCATCAGACCACATGACCTTCTTCCATTGCTCCAGAGTCCAATCTTTATTCTCCTTAGCAAATTGAAGCCTTTTTTTTTCCAGTCAGCCTCACTGATTAGTGGTTTTCTTAAGGCTACACAGCTGTTCAGTCCCAATCTCTTGAGTTCCCTTCACATTGTGCATGTGGAAATGCTCTTACTTTCACTATTAAACACAGTCCTGAGTGCTACTGTTGTTTTTCTTCCATTTGATTTCACCAAACATTTAAGTGATCGCCGATCACGATCATTCAGGATTTTTTTCCAGCCACATTTCTTCCTCAAAGACGATGGGTCCCCACTATCCTTCCAGTTTTTAATAATGCGTTGGACAGTTCTTAACACAATTTTAGTCGTTTCTGCAATCTCCTTAGATGCTTTCTCTGCTTGATGCCAATGATTTGACCCTTCTCAGACTGACATCTTTTCCACGATCACACAATGTGTCTTTCGACATGGTTGTTTAAGAAATGAGAAGCAACTCATTGCACCAGTTGGGGTTAAATAACTTGTTGTCATCTGAAAGATAATCACCCATGCAGTAATTATCCAATAGGAGGCTCGTGCCTATTTGCTTAGTTAAATCCAGGTGGCAACTTTTTAGGGGGCCAGGCAGTGTAGGTGTATGTTCTGAACTTTCAAGATCACAGTTTTCACTGGAACCCCCACACACTGTGCCTTTAATCCCTGTTTATCTTACAACTTCCTTTGACAACAGTTACTCCAAATACATTCTCACACTTCCTTCACATTTTTTACATCTGATTCTATTTATTTATTAAAAACTCCTCGCTGGAGATTTCCTATTCAGAGCTTTTTAAAGCTGCTGCCTGCTGTTGGATGTTTTATGACGTTACAGTGAGCAGTCGTCACGCTGGTGATGGGGCCAACTTGGTTTGCATTTGGATCGCAGGTGGCGACTCCACAGCTCACTGCGTAGCCAGTTTGACTGACATGCGCTGTCATGAGTCAACTCATGTGAGAAAATGAGAATGTTCATGAGCTATTGATACTGTAGCTAACAGGATGATGCCTGTGGTCAGCTACAGCGAAGGATCCATTCTTATCATGGCACACCGCTCGCCTCCTCTGTGTAGTGCACAAACACACACACACACAACATCTGCACTGCAGACATAACATTGGCAATATGTAGCCATTTTTATAATCCCTCTGAGTAAGACAATGGCAGCCATTCTGTGTGTGCAGGGGTGGGGGTGTTAATGTGTGATTTCAAACCCCACATGAAAACAGTCATTTGTACACATCTGGGCCTGGCTGAAGTTTCATCCAACAGCAGTAAATCTGAGAGACCAGCCCATCCTGTGGCCCCCCCAGCTCACTCAGTCTCCAAACGCACCCTCTTTTTCAGCCCCTTCACATCAGCCTTAAAGACATGGAGGAAATGGCAGAGATATTTTTGCATGGTGAGAGGAGGAGGAGGGCCAGAGGACCAGACTAAAGCAGTGCTCAGTGGTGAGGAGATAGTCAGGGTCCAGGAGAACCGCTGGCGCTGCTCGTCTCCTGCTCCAAAGCTGCTTGATCTTTGGCAGAGGTGACATCTGTGATATCTGGGGTGTGACAGAGCTGAGTAATCTGCACATGGGGCTCCATGTGCCTCGCCAATGATCCGAGAGGAGAGTAACGTAAAAAATTCAAAGTGTGAACTTGATTTGTCTCTTTAAACGTGAAGACTTTTATACGCAACCCTAAACAACTCAAGGAAAGGCTCGTGTATTTGAGTAGAAAAAGATTAACAAATTTTATTCAAACTAAAAAAGGGAGAGTCCAAATACTCTGCATTGTTTCAAAAAGCAGCAGGATCCACTGACAATGATTTGATCTGCTTTCTAGAGGACACACCTGGTGATAAAACACTGTTACTGTTTGTTATCATTTACAGTAGTCCCTCGCTACTTCACGGTTCGTTTTAAGCGGACTCGCTCTATTGCAATTTTTCAAAGTAAGATTGGACATGACGCACAACAGGCTGATTGATGGATGAGCTGCACAATCTGCGTAGATTTTTTAATTAAAAATAAATTATTTTAAATTACTTAGCACCTGTGTGTAGCCCACAGCTGTGGGAGAAGCTTCCTCCTGCAGCTGATCAGCTGATCTCCATGCAGAGCAGAGAAGTGGGCGTGGCAGAGAGAGCAGCCAGAGGCAGAGAGATGAAATCATGACATTATGTACTCTTTTAAGAGCGTTTAGAGCAGGGGTGCTCAAACATTTTCCCTGAGAGGGTCAAATTTAAAACCTATCATACGGGCGCGGGGCAAATGTAATAATAAATGAAATGCAAATACTTCTTTAAGTAAAGTCTATTTATTTATTATACAGTTAATTAACCTTCCATTCTGTATAAACAACATTACAGAACAGGCTGCGTTGTAGTGGGGGGTCTGGGGTTCCTTCCCCAGAGAATTTTGAATAAAATAGATGCCATTTCCTGCATTCTGGTATATTTTACAAAGGTTTATTACAGTAGATTAACATGAAACAAAACATGTAAACTCTGTTACTATTGAAATCTCTCTGACTGCAAAGCGTTCATAAAGCAACACCGCTGCAGCTCTGCAGGTAAGGGGCGTTCACTTCAGGACAAACTGAGGTCGCTGATTGGTCAATTGCTGACATGCTCAAGTGATTGACAGGTGGCAGACTCATGCAAAAAAAAAAAAAAAAAAAAATCAGATTTTACTTGCTTGTTTGAGACTGTCATCATTTATTCCATCCATCCATCCATCAATCCATTATCTTTTGCCCACTTCTTCCATTTTGAGTCACGGGGGTCGCCGGTGCCCATGTCCAGCAATCACTGTGTGAGCGGCAGGGTACACTCTGGACAGGTCGCAAGTCCATCACATATTCATAACACAATTTTTGACTGATGCTTTAAATTGCGAAGAAGTCCTACCGTACCCGCTCGTTTCACTGGTGCAGACAGAGGAACGCTGAAGAGCTAGCGGCTCCTGCCACGATGGATGGATAGATAGATGGTTGGATGGATGATAAATGAATGGTGCCACGCTACCCCGGCAAAATGAAGCTGTTTTGATCATTAAATAAATGCACAATAAATGTAACGGGTCAGTGGTGATGCATAATAAATGTGACTTGTATACCTTTTTTTCCTCTTCATGATGCTTTTTTTGACTGATGCGACTTATACTCTGGAGCTACTAATACGCCAGAAAAAATGGTATTCCTACTTCGCGGCTTTTCACTTATCGTGGGGCTTCAGGGTATGGATCCCTCACGATAAACAAGGGACTACTGTATATTTACTTGGAAAGGTCATTCTTGTTATTTTTGTCTTCATTTTAACTTAAATAAAAAATAAAATAAAACAAGAAAAATAATTTCAGTCTCATAAGTTGCACTTGATTGTTAATTTTGTTACTGTAAGCACAGGATCGATAACGCACACAAAAAGAGATAGTTCAGATCAATTAGCGTCAGGTTATAATCAAATAATATCCTACCTGTTGTAGATAGCCCTTTTAAAAACCTCCGTTTGGAGAATTAATTTGATTCTGCCTCGACTTGCTAGTCGGAGCGAAGCCAAGTCCAAACTGACGTCTAAAAACAACTCTAACCCAAACACCAGCTCATAGAAGGGCTCCAAATATTAAACTTTCACACTTTCATCAGTTTTGCATTACACTGTTCAGTATTTCAGTGCTGCAAACACCCAGCTAGCTTCTGCTGCTGTTATTTCTGTTTGTAAATAATCAAAGGATTTTATGTGAATAATTGTGAGATGAGAAAAAGGATAGTGCTATAAAGATTTATAAATGAGTGTTTCCATGTACCACTATGATTTTTTTGAGATTTGAAATGTTTGAAGTTCTGCTCCGACTAATTAGCTCAACAATCTGTTAAAGTTAAACTTGTTTCCCCAAATTCAAAGAAAGGTAAGGTCTTGGTTATAATCAGTGGTGGGCACATCTAGCCAAAAAGTTAAGATTTGCTAATTCACTAACTAAAAAATTAGCTTTGCTAACGCTAAACAGATATTTAAAAAAATTTGCATATGTTAATTCTAAAGCGCCAACTTTTATCACACACTGCTGTGGTTGACACTACGACTGTCTGTAATGTGACAACATTGTAAGTGAACACGATTTAAAACAGTTCATAAATCACAGGTAAAGTGTCTGTGTCCCCTTCAGAGGTGAGCTTTCAGAAATTAATCCGGTCCAGCAGAACCAAACAGACTGAGCAGAACTCTGCTGTGCTGAAGCAGAGTGATACATTCAATGTATGGCGGACGTCTCCCTCGTGTTATTTAATATAACAAATTAACTAATTTTAATTATCATTTTTGTGGTTAACTACTTAACAGTAACTACAAAGTTGCTGTCATCAGTATTCTCAGTAAAATCTGTTTGTATTAAAATGAAGTGCGAAATGTGTGAGTCACACCCAAGAGACAGTGTGAGCGTTGCAAAGCATGCTGGGTAGGAATTATGTGTGCAATGTTTCTGACTGTTTACGATATTTATGAATGTGAAAGTTGTTTTTTTTCATGTCATTTTCCTGTTCTGGGTTGGTTTGCCTGCATTTATGTTAAAGTCTCTGTTATTGTCTGTAAACTGCATCACAGTCTGGTACGGGAGCTGCTCTGCCTCAGACCGGAAGGCGCTGCAGAGGAGTGGTGAAAGCCATCCAACACATCACCGGAGCACCACTTCCTGCCATAAAGGACATCTACAGGAAGCGGTGTCTGAAAAGGGCTGGGAAAATCATAAAAGACTTCAGCCACCCAGCGCACAGACTCTTCACCCTCCTGCCCTCTGGGAGGCGTTACAGGAGCCTCCAGACTAAAACCACCAGGTGCCGGAACAGCTTCTTCCCCACAGCTGTCACACTCCTGAACTCTGCCTCCTGACATCTGAACAACAATGATGATCTGTATTCTCATACACACAACAACAACACATGGACTGTAACACCACCACCTGCACTTTCATCTGTTAGCCCACTACTGTACAAACTGTACACATAATCTACTACCTACTGTTCATAAGTACTCACATACTTACATATATATATTTTTTTTCTTTTATATAGCTGTTTATGCCCCTTTATATTATAACCTGTTCATTGTCTGTACACTCACAACCTGTATATATTTATACCTATAGCATATTCAAAGCAACTTACTGTATATTGTACTATATTGTAGTATGTCATATAGGGATATATATTCATACTTTTCACGAGTTCCTCATCTTTCTGACTGTGTAAATGTCGTGCATTGAATTTTAACAGAAATGTAACGAGAGACGTTATTTATCTTTGACCCATCAAAATGAATGCGGTCATTTATTTTCAGAATCAAAGTTTAACATCAAACATTTACATTAATTTGGCAAAATATGAAAATAATAACAGACAAGTTTCACAGATAATAGACTTCAATCACACGGCGGTGATTGAGGATTTTGCTTCAGATATTTCTAAAATATCTGTACTGATTTTAAGAGAAAGCAGAGTTTAAGATGGAAATGGAGATTTATCTTGCAGAGAGATGTGTGAGGGAATTAATCTGTTTGACCAGAAACGTGCACGCTCCTTCAGATCTCAGCTTGCGACGGTACGCTTGGTCGAAGTAGAATCGTTACCTGGTTGATGATAAATCAGCTCGGTATAGAATCCTTCAGACTCTTTCAGCGTCTCCGTTGAGAGCAGCTGAAATCCTTCGAGAGTCGTACGAGGTTGTTCAAACAGAAGTTATAATCCCAAAACGTCTCTGGATCATCCTGAACGCGTTTGCATCCAAGAACTCTAACTCCATCACTCTTCAGCACTCTGTGTGGAACTCTCAGAGCTCTGCAGCATCAGACTCTTTTTAGCTCCATTAATCTTCAGCGTCTGGCTTCAGACTTCAGACTCTGTGCACTCTCTAGTTGAACTCATTCCTGAGCGCAGCAACTGCAGCAACTACTGCATGAACTGGGAAGTTGCCACATTTTAAATGGGTCGACTTCCGGGTCATTTGAGAGCTTTTTGATTGGTCGATGGACCAGAATAGAGGTGTGGTTTGTGATGTAAGATGTTATCAAATTCGAGGTCAGAGAATGAGATTGTTCAACAACAGACAGAAAGATTATTGCAGAAAACCAGACTTCGTGGAGTCTCACTCTGCTGTATCTTCTCAAATAGTTAAACATGACATTTTTTCTCAGTAAACATTTTAGTTGACCGAGAACCGACCTTTAACATACTTACAAAACTCGCTCATTGCAGACAGAAAAATCAAGAAATGCATATTAACCTGATTTCTTCTTTGAATGAGGAATAAAAATCATTACTTACTGTTTATGTAAAATAAAAATGAGTAGTTTTCTTCAACCTGTAAACATTGAGTGAACTAACACAATTTGATTATCAAACATTTGTAAAATAGTAATGATCATAGAGAATTGTCTTTTCTGCTTGATTAATTCAAGAAAGAAAGTCACCAGATGGCTCAAACTGTATTTCTGGATGCAGATCAATGAAATAACAGTCCCTGTTCATCTGATCAGATTTGAGGTCAGATCAGGTTCACTACAATATATATCTACCAATTTATTTTTCTTGCTAAGCACTTCTGGATAGATGCAAACTGCATTTCGTTGCTTTGTACCTGTGACATGTGCAATGACAATAAAGTTGAATTCTATTCTATTCTAAACTAACACCATGAGTCAAGCATGGTTAGCGATATGTATAAGTGGGGGAAGCACTGCGAGAGTCATGATGTCACCGGGCGGCACTTAGCTTTAAATCACCATTCTCCTGTACACTTTTAGTGCAGTGAACAGTCCCTAAAAAAAGACTAGCGGATATGAATTTACCAGATTTAAATTTAGCGGAAGCTAATACTGCAAAACGGAAAGTTAGTGTCACTATTAATGGATTACTGGAATTGTGCCCACCACTGGTTATAACCACTCCACAGAATCCAGATTCAAAGGATTCATGAAGCCATGGCTTTCATGACACTAGCCTCCAAACAAAACATTTGTCTTGGACTCTTTTAAGATATAAAGGTTCATGCTCAATAATCCAGGTAAAAAAAATCCAACAATGTTCAATCAGGTCATCTGGACAGTTTCTTTTTTGTTGTTGAGATGCCACATCACACAGCCAAAGTGGTTCTAGACGTCTTTGGCTGTGTTGCCTGGGAGGAGTCGACGGGGGAGAGGATGGCCCCCAGAAACCACCTTAAAAACAGCAAACTGGTTGGTCCACTGTAGGAGTATACTTCTTTGTGGGGAAAACAGTTTGTGACTCCTCAGACTGATGAAGACCTTTGGGTGGAGAGAGAAATGTCTCTCAAAAAAAAAAAAAACCTGTCCAGATGACTTGACTGAACATTGTTGGACTCTTTAAGGTGCACCTAACAAAAAAGGGAGGTGTGAATTTATAAAGATACTTGAACAACCAGCTAAAGTCTGAAAAGGTATTTCTCCATGGGGTGACTGAACACTTCGTAGACAGCTCAAACTTTAGGAATCAACGCAGAGATTGTTTGTTTAACCCAGAAGCATAACTTGCAAGGAATACGTTAAAAAAGTAATTATTTACTTTAAGTTTAGTCATTGTTGGTCTGGGCCCACCAATAAAGGGAAGTTGAGGGGTCATCTCCTGGTCCTCCTCTTGTTCCAGCAGGCTGACTGGGCTGTCCTGCTTTAATGTGCCTGGGGGGCTGGATGTGGGAAGTTGGGGATCGAATAGAAGGATCCCACAATCCTTGGCTGCCCGAAGGACCCCGGGTACCTCCTGAACCCGGCTGTACCAACGCAGCAGATGGGGGAGATGATACAGAGCGCTGGCAGCTTGAGCTTGGAGGGAACACTGAAACAGAGTAACAAAAGAAGAACAAAATACTGAATGAACTCATGTTAGTGTTAATGGGTCACAACTGACCCATGTTTCATAATAAAAAAAAATAAAAAATAAAAAGTGATTATGTGGTATGTAGTATCTACGTAAACACTGTTTTAAATGTTTTTTTAAGATCTTTAATCTTATGGAGTACAATTTCTTCTCAAATAAAGAAAGTTTAAATTCACACTATATATACAGTATATATACAGTATAT